TAGGAGGATCCACAGGCTGGAGGGGAGGGGTAGGGGCAGTGGTTAGCTTTGAGTCTTCCCCCTCCAAACACGAAACCTCCCATGCCAAAGGCCTTCAAAAATAGAGGCCAAGCTCTAAACAGCATTCAACGTGCAGATGATACTGTGAGTCATTCCAGCAACATGGGAGAATACTCTATTACTATAAACGGTGTGTTAGCTCAGGGTTCATGCTCCGGAAGCTACTAGGGTTAGGGTTGGTAACAAAAAAAATTATCCAAACTTTTGCATGTACCTTCTACTACTACCACTTTTATTATCTATAGAACACTTTAAAAACATCCACGGGTGCAACAAAGCACTGCACATATAAAAACAAAAGCACTGCAACAAAGGACAATGCAGGAAAACAATAAACAGCAATAAACTAGGTAGATTGCATGGCTTTTTGCAAGCCAACTGTGCGATTTGAAGCACATTAATGAAGTCAGAGGCAATCTGATCTAGACCAGGGGTCTGCAGCATACATCTACGGAGCCAGAAGTGGCTCTTTGAAATCTCTATAAAGTGGTTAAACATCATAAAGAATCAACTAAAGGTTTAAAATGTGGTATAAAAACAATACCTTATGTTCAAAGCTTTAGCTGCTCTTCTAAATAATTTCTGAGACAGATTTTCTCTAAAGAACTAAATAAAAAAAAAATAATAATCTGTTTTATAGATCTTTTTTCTTTCTGGTATCAACTGAATGTTGAAAACTATGTTTTTATTTTACATAATTTTCTACAAATATTGACATCATAGAAGAGAAAATCCATGAATTTTATACTTTTTCATTGTTTTAACATCTAAAATTACAAATAAATGGCAACAGATTTCCTATGGCAAATATTTCAAAAAGCTCATGTAAAATTTGCATTTTTAAACCAATTTTATTCAAATGGACTTGGATTAAATTGGATTAAAAGGGTTGCAGACCACCCCACTACGCCCCACCGCTCCGATTTTAAAGAATTGTCCAGATTTTAAAAGGTTACGGTTTCAAAAACATCCCATTATACCATACCTAATGAATAAAATCCCTTTAATATGATGTCAGAATAGTGGTCCACCTAATGCTGGTAAAAGCATTGTCCAAGTTCTTGTCCAGATGCACCCAAACTATCTCTGAGAGCTTCATGTTGCAGTCCTGAGTTCCTTTCAACATGACAAAATCAGATGCATACATTTTCAACCGTCAGCTGGCTTAAAAAATGTCCCCCCTACTTACAAGAAAGATCAGTTTGCTCATTTGTAAATATTTTCTTGCTGCAAAAAGAAAAAACAAAAAACATTGAAGACTACAGAACTAACACCTGATTATGACTTTTATTCAACAAACTGCGGAGAGGACTTCTGTTAAGCAGCAGGCGCTAATAAACCAGCTACCACCAGCTTGTAACACTTGTGTTACCCTATGAAGAGCAGAACAGACATAATTTTGCACAGCACAGCATTTGCCTAATGCTTATACCATGATATCACGAAACTGAGGAACTAATATAATCTTATAATTATAAATAAATCTGTTTGGTAATAAATAGTTACTGTGTGGGCATAGCCATGTATAATCTATTAAACAAGGCTTCCCCTTGTCTGTTACTGCATGGCGTTATCTGAGGAATTCAATGTTATGTAAACTACAAGCTCAACCAAGGAGAAACACCAGATAAATTGGAACAACACAGAAATAGATTGTAAAACAGAAAAAAAACTACATTCACAGAAGTATGAATCACGGATTTCTTGGAAAATGTGGGTGAGGTTTTGCTCATTCCCCAGCTTCAAAGTGAGGACTGCCCATCACTCTGAGTTCAGACTTGAATGTGACTTATATAATAGCTTTTTTTTTTTTTCTTTTTTGTGGAGGCAGTCTTGTAGAACGACAAGCTGCTCTCAGATATAGAAGAAAAAAAAATCTGAAAACCTGACCAGACTTGAGAGGTAGAATGCTGTCATACAACAACCACACAGCTTTTTTCTTTTTTTCTTTTTCTAAAGGGGGTGGTCTTAACCGGTTCGCCTACAAATCCAACTAAAAATAAAACATGTATTTTCTTATTCATCAGAACGAAGCAGAAAACACCAAAGGTACTATTACATTACTATGCATGTTCAGAAAACAAATCATTTACAAATAAAGTTTTAAAAAGTCACTTTCCTATTTGAAAGCAAGTCAAATGATGATGATAACTTTTTCATGACAACTCATGGTACTTTATGAACAGGGCCGGATTCAGCTGGATGTGGACCCCTGGGCTGGAGCCAGTTTTGGTGCCCTACCCACACAAACCTCTTCAACTCATCAAAAGTAAACTGATTGTGCGGTCGGGTCACAGATCAGTTGATAAGAACTGATGCAGCATCAATTTAATCCCCTGACACATGCTTTTTTTTTTTTTTTTTTTTTAAGAAAAAGGGTGTAGCCTTAATTTTGAAGGTCAAACCAGACCACCAGTGTTTCTTGAAAAGTTTAGCCCATGAAAATAAAAGATTTTTCAGAAAAGGCCAGGCTTTATGTCATGAATGTGCAACCACTAAACGCTAGAAAGAACGTTCCAAGGAGGAGGTTCCCTTAAAGGTGATGGCTGCAGCTTTAACTCCTTCCGGCCAGTAATTGGCGCCCTTGCACTTGTCTGCTCTCGTTTTGTGCTGTTAGCTAACCAGTTCCCAGGTCTGTTATGATAACTAAAGCACACAGTAACTTACAAGTTATAACATAAAGCAGCAGGTTGTTTGTTTCCTAAAGTCAACACCAATCGTCAAACGCTTGATGTTGGGCCTCACTGCAAAATTTTTCTTTTTTTTCCTTCACTTTAGTCGTAGAAATGTAACAAAGGAAAGAAGCATTGCTCAGCTCTGTTAAGGAGCTTTTAGGATCTGGCAACACCTAAGCTTTTCCTCGTGTGAATTTAACCTACAATTCCTATTGGTGCAGAATCCTTTTATGTCACCATTGGCATCACAACCAGAAGTATTTACTTATATATTTTGGACCTGCAAGACATTTATGAAACAATTATCTATATACAGTACTAATATTTTTCACCACTCTAGGCATTCTGTGGATGTATTATTTTTGAAATATTCATGTTTTTTTTATGACCTTTACCTATTTCTCTTGTTAGATTTATTTTCCTAAGGTTCGGTCAAAGGCGGGGCAGTGACCTCATGTTAGTCAAATACATGAGTATTGTTTACTTTCAAAAAGGTCCAACAAAAAAAACACCTCACCAAATATGGGGGAATGAGTTTCACCTAATTTACAATGTTTGAAAAAAAGCATATACTTAAAAATAAATATATCATCAGTGCCTCCCAAAACATGTGTCCCTACTGTCCCTTCAAGTCCTTTATGAAGTATGACCCAGCTTTTTTTTTTTATTAACAGATCATTCCAGATGCATGGTGATAAAATACAGGGAGTGCGGGATAAATGCAAGACAGCCCTGCTTTAACAACGTCATATAATCCATACAGCCATTTCTCAGTTGGTTTAAATATTTATAAAGGATCAGATCACAAAACTACCAGTATTTTAAGGCAAGTAGCCTCAAACAAACCACAGGAAAACAGAAAAGTGGAGTCGCCTCCATCAATGGCGTAACAACACAACAATACGTAGAGAACATATGGGGTGGGACCCATATGAAGTACAGCACCCCAATCTATGCTCTGGATTACCCATAATTCCAAGTCGTATTGTAAAAAAATAAAATACTCAAGTACACCGTTCTTTTAAGATCTTTATTGCGTTTTGAAACATATATTAGTGTATTTTTTACCAACCGTCTAGTGAACTATACACAGTTATTAACATAGTAATTAAAAGTACCACCCACACTGCTTTGCTATTGGTGTCGTGTTTAAACGGCTCCCCATCATGTTGAAATCTGCCATGTGTTGGGGTATAAATAAGGTCCGGTCAGGTAATCTATAGTATCAGGTGGGTTTAAGAGGATTTTTTTGCACCATTACATCTGCAAAGAGACATCCTATTCCACAATTGCATAGGGGGGCCAACCAGATGTCAGTGAAGGGGCCCCTAAGCAACTGTAATCTCAGTTTACTGATAGTTACACCATTGGTCTCCATCAAATGACAACATGCATTGAAATAAAGTTAATTTGTCTGCTTATGATAGAAAAAAAAATTCTGGATCACATTGATAGAACAAATTTCAGAGAGCTAAAGTGGGGGGGGGGGTGCAAGTCAGATTAAATGTGTCTTTGTCAGATAATGAGTGAACTGAAAGTTACACTCACCGTTTACTGTTAGAAGACACTGGAAAAAGCAGCTGTGAGTAAACTATGACCTCACAGAAGTGGCAATACAAACCACCGCCCACTTCCCCACCATAAAGGATTTTGCCATCCCAGTTCCTACAAACACCCAAATACATAACACCCCCCACCCCCACCAGAGGGGTGTTTAATGTGTATTTTGGTTCAGGTTTCAGTTTTGCAGCTAGTGCACCCCCCTCCATGCATACACATATGATCATAGATGAGGGTCACCCAGATAAGATCCTATCTCATGGGAAAAATAACCTGTTTGTTTAGTGGCCTAAAGACTTATTAGGCTGTAAATCATCACACTGAAACCAAACAGAGCAGCACCTACAGTTGGGTCCCAGAGAAATCAGATGTGTCAGTGCACATGAGCAGGGAACACCAATTGTAATTAAAGAATACATAACAGCCTGCAAAAGGAACTGAAATAATGGCTGTTTGAGCGTCTTTATTGAGGCATTCATATACAGTATGTCTATTTTTTCAGCTGAAGTATTCGCTTTATTTATTATTACTGTGCAGAACTAGTTGGGTTTATATTCAGCTACTGGCGCAGCCTCCCTTCTTTTTTTAATGGCTAAAATAATCCCGCTGCAGGGAGTGAAGCTGCTGTTTATCTGCGGCTAAAAAACGCGCAACGAAAGTTCAATCAGATAGAGTCCCGGGCGCGTTTGCTGTCGGCTCGTTTACCTTGCTGTCGATGCTCCGCTGTGTCTGAGCTCGCCGTAGTGCAGCCCTACAGCCCGGGGTACCAATCCTCTGATTTTCTTTTAAATCTTTTTTTTTTTATCTTGTCTATTTAAATGTCTCCTTTCAGACGAGCAGCCGGGGAACTTCATACGGCAGGTCGGAGGGACTGAAAGCGGTGAAGTAGTTCATGGCAGAGAGTGAGTGAGAATATCCCTCCATAAGCACCGCCTCGGCTGCTCCCTGCGTGCACACCCCTCCTCATAAACCAACACACACACACAGAGGCGCTGTGAAGCCGTCAAGTAATGCTCGTTAAAAATAATCATTTCCATTAGGATCACTTAAAGGAAATCGATGCAGGATACACTTCATGCTTTTAGTAAACAAATAACTGTGAAAAACAACTACAGTTAAGCATGGTGGAGGCTGTCAGGAAGCTTGGATATGGACTTTTAAACAGGATAATAATTCCAATCATATCTTAAAGACCTCTAAGCATAGGCGGTTTTAAACAGGGGCCAAAAGGGGCCAGTGTCCCTCTAGTAACTGGCTAACTGGCCCTTGTACCAAATACGGTAGTGACCCGAATATAGGACGACCCTGATTATAAGACGACCCCCTCTTTCCAGGACCAGTTTTTAGAAACAAAACAAAAAGACCAAAAATAAATTAATTAATAAAAAAAAAGGACTATTTTAATAAAATATTTTATATTTAAGTGCTAACAATTTTATTTAAATAATACTGCACTGAAAGATTTGTGCAATTAAACAATTAAAGTAAAAAAAAAAAAAAAAAAAAAAAAAAAAAAAAAAAAACATGGTAATGACACATTTATTTGAAATCTTGCAACACTTCAACTCAAATGCAATCTCAACTTTGCACTTTTCATTTTTTGGTCCCCTGCACATTTTACTATCCAAAAACAATGTTAAGCTACATCACACAGAATTTGTCAAGCACTAGGACCAAGTGGAAAACGGTAGGACAAGCTGAAGCCTGCTTTCCTGAGTTTAGACCACCCATTAGCTCCTGATTGTGTCTTTTCTTGTGTGATTGGCTGTCACCGCTGTCACTCCTAAAGGGCTGGTTATAATCTCGCATTGTATCGCAGTCAGCTTTGTCGCAGGTATGACGCAGACATTTTTGATTTATGCCCAATATTGAAGCGTGGTCTGCGCTATGTTATATTCCACGCCCCAACGCAAGAGGGACAACAGGAACTAGCTGTGGGTCTAGATACGGCCGAGGCAGTGAGGAAGAGGTTGCAGGTTTGTGCGACAACTGAGAGACATGACGGCGAAAAAGAGCGAGGATCCAGTTGGAAAAAAGGCTGATTTATACTTCGAAACTAGGTCGTCTGCGTGTGTGTCGCAGTGAACGCAAAGACGTCCCCGCCCCCTCCGCAGACACTTTGCTGCACTTCTCCTAAATTGTAGGTGACCGCAGACAGTGTTGCAGACAAGAGGCTGGCTTGTTGTGTTTTTATGACCGCAATGGCGGAAAACAACTCCTGAAGATGGGCCATCTAGAAGAGCGAAGTGCGCGAGAACGCTGGGACCCTTGTTCCTCCTGGATTCCCGCTCTTTTTCGCCCTCATGCCCCTCCGTTGTCGGACAAACTTGCTCCCACTTCCTCACCGCCTCGGCCGTATCTAGACCCACAGCTAGTTCCTGATTCTCTTGCGTTGTGCCATGGAATATAACAGCTTCAAAATTGAGCATAAATCAAAAATGTCTGCGTCAAGCTCACTGCGACACACTACTGCGGGGAGTATAACCAGCCCTAAAGGGTCCAAGCTTTCTTGCGCACCTCGCTCTTCTAGCTGGTCCAACTTCAGAAGCCGTTTTCCACAATGGCGGTCATACAAACAAACAAGCAAGTAAGGTACCAAACAGGAAATATGCATGGTGTAGAGCAGATGTAGATTTGACCAATCAGAGGCCTTCTCTCTGCGGTCACCTACAATTTGGGAGAGGTGCAGCAGAGTGTATTCAGAGGGGTCGGGGACGACTCTGTGTTCACTGTGAAACCTACACAGACGACCTAGTTTCGAAGTATAAATCAGCCTTAAGAAGCTCACTTTACAAACATCTGATGCGCTACTGTATCGGGTCTATGATTGGATGGTCAAACATGCTGAAATCAAAATTTTGTCCATCATCTATGTGTTCTCACCCTGCAGTTCTGCAATTTTTTGATAAGCTTTTCTTTTGCTGTTTGCATTTTTCCTCTCTTTTTGAATGTGCCATTTTCTGACATTGCTTTCTGTAACTCTGTAGGTCTTTGCTGCCTGACACTTGTTTGATGCCTCAGCTGCATTGACCACAGTTATTTTAAAATTGGCATCATCCAATGTCTCAAATGTTTGCAAACTTGTGTAACTTTTGATCCACTACACTCTGGGTAGCGACTCTCTATTTGTAGCATTCTAGTCACTTCTTATCTGTTGTAATTAAAAAAAAACATTACCGCAGCCACAGTGAGGTCAGTGGCTTTTTTTTACTTGCGCCCTCTGCTGTTGCTTTCATGTAGCTACCCCAGACAACTGTTAGCCTGTATAATTGGTTAGACTTCGATTATAAGACGACCCCACATTATTTAACGAAAAATAAAATTGTCTTTTATTCTGGCCAATACAGTACATAATACAGAATACATTTATCATAAATGACTCATGATATGCACTTATAGTTTTTTTTTTACAGTTGTATAATGTTTTTGTTTTACAAATAAAGACAGTGTAAAGAGATTTTCCCAGATTTCTTGTAAACACATTAAAACGCCATAAATGTGTTGCTCTACACGTGTAAAAAGTCTCCCAACCTTTTTATGATCGCACTGTGGAAGAGTTCTTTGGTTCCCAAGATGATATTGTCTCATTACATCTGGACATGTTTTGAAAGTACATTTAATTTGTAAAAGTGGTGCAAGAGGCTGTATTATTTATTGTTTAAACATCTTGCGAGGGGCAGTGTGCTGTAGGACCAACTACAGCATATTGTAACAACATTGTTGTTGCTGTTAACTAATGAAAATACAATTTTTGCTAAATATATTTTATAGGTTTTATATATATATATATATATATATATATATATATATATATAGGTTTTATTTTAATGTCTTTTGGTGGGAAATTTTGAGTATGTATAGAGATTTTTATGATACATCTATCCATTTATTTGTTTTTTCATTCTACAATTTTGCTCCTGTTCAGCAGCTGGTGCCCCAGGCAGCCATGAGCCTGTTTTACCTGTTGGCAAAGCCAGCCCTACACTGTGGTGCTAGAATTAAATGTGGGCTCCAATATTTCTGTGTTTTAAGATTTTCTGGGTGTGTCTAAATTAGTGGCGTCATGTCGTCATGCAGCTGTCCTCTGCTGTCCCAGCAGAATAAACACAAACAGCAAGGCAGCCTCTGCATTGTCACCAAATTAGTTACTTTTTTGCTATATTTAAAGCTTTTTGAGACCCCTTTAGTGACAACAATAAAATTTAGCAGCTTTGTCCTGTCTTGATGGAGACTTTGGTGACACATTTTTTTTTTTAGTGAACAGTTAGTAAGCTATCCCCTCCCTCTTCCTCTTCCTCTTCACAGGGACTCAGATGCAGCACCTGCAGCAGCTGCAGCCCATGTCTGAAGTCAGAGAGCAGAGCGATTCTCCTCTGTTTCCTCACTGAAGATGAGTCACGCAAGCCTGAAGCTTCCACTGATTGCCCTTAAATAAAAATCTGCATGTAAACATATTTTTCTCCTTTAAAACTGTTTCAGTGATATAGACTATCGAGTGGTCATGGAATCAGTGGCCCTATATAGAAAGCACCCTCAGCATCTCATGGTAGAGAAAACTGTTTTTTCACTAATATGAGACCTTATTTTATATGCTTTGTTTTCTTTTTGATCATTCAGAACTCATTTTGGTGTGACAAACTGAGACCGCATATTTATTTCACATTTTACTCGGCCTTTAGGTGGTTGCACTTTTAGCTTCATATGGCTCTTTGGTTCAATTAAACAATGAACTTTCATCTGAACTGTTTTTGGTTTCCTTTTTTTGCCCCGGTGCCCAGATGGAAAAAAAAAAAAAAAAAATAGCCCCACCCTCCCTTGTAAATTTGGTCTAGAACTGCCACAGCCATCAACGCTTGGTTTTAGAAAAAAAATTATAATAATTAAACTTATTAGGTGCTCTTTGTGGTCACCTGACTTCAAATGATGACGCCACTTATTCAACGAGCAAAAGGCTGAAACTTAAAGGGGCATTTTGTCCACAATTAGTAAACAATTATCTGTACTTAAGTAGCGTTTTTAATCAAATACTTTATTCTCTTACTAGAGTAACTTCTTGGATGAAAACTTTTTCCTATTAGAAACTAAATAATTTTGCGTACCCACTTCTGGCTGTTATATTTATATTATTTGCTGCTGACACTAAAGAGTAGTTTAACTTTGGATTATGCTTGGAAGTATTTCCTTTACAGATATGCTGGATTAAAGTGGAAATTAATAAACCCTGTTAAATGCAATTGTAAAGGCATATCAATTAAAACCTTTAAGCTAATAACACTGCTGGTTGAACACAAAAAAAAAAACTGTAAACATGCAAACTTGGACTTTTAAAGCTTGCTGAGGACAGGTCTATGAAAACTCACAAAGAAGCAGAAAAGAGAAAGAGTCAGCATCTTTTTTCATCTCCTTCCCAGGAACGACTCTGCAACTTATATTTGTCAAGGCACACAGAGAGACAATAACATCAACAACCTGAAGGCCTTTTTTAATGAAAACAAAGCAAAGGTTCTCCAGGAACGCTGCATTAAGCAGGAGTCTGATGTTAATCATGTTCATAATAACGGAAGGTTTCTGATGAGATGATTTCAAAAAGTATATGTAATAGCTGATTTAAGCCATTTGAATTGTTCCATCTTCTGATGTAATTATTGCAAACTGTTTTGGGTTTGTATAATTTTGCTGAAAAATACTCATTTGTAATTGGGGTTTAATCGTTTGAGGTGCAGAACATTCATCAGCACAGGAGAGAGCTGTATGCCACGTTAATGTTGGTGCAGAATAACTGAGGCATGGTATTTGGTAAAGCACATGATTTCTCATTCCACTGATCACAATAGTGAGGGATTAGGCTACACAATGAGGATGAAGCTGGCAGGAGAGGATACCAGACAGGGAATCATGTGGGTGTCTGGGAT